TTAAGGTTTCTCGGGCAGCACAGCCGGTGCGAACCTGAGCGGATCTATCGCGGCGACGGGTCAGATATTTTTCCATATGCCCTAATTAGGGTAGATCGGAGTAAAACTTCACCTTACTTCAAGATTAACAGTTGATAATTCTCGAAATACTATTTTCTTTTTTACTTCATCTAATTCTTTTTACACACTTATGTAATTTCAAGTTTCTAAAGTTTTGGCGCGGCAAAACAAAAACTTAAAACATTAGAATTACAATAATTTTTGAATAAATTAGAATTTCGAAAAAAAGAAAAATCTAGTGATCAGTTCATAAACAAACATGCTTCTGCAGCAAGTTAAATTTTAACTCTGCAGCATGTCAAATTTTAACATTCCTGCTGCCTGTAGAGTTCCCCGCGTGGTGTTTTTTCCTACAAGTATAACTGCTAATAAACAAATGTTTGTTTTTTTTTCCCATTGTACTCCATGTACATTTTTTTTACACACCATTGTAATTTCAAGTTTTTAATTCTTTTAGTTTTTTTGGAGCAAACAAAATGTAACGTTAAATTAAACACCCAAGACTACGCCGGCTCTTACGACTTTTTAATATAGAAAGATCGTACTATTAAACTGAGTTTTTCTTGTTAAAAAAACAATTTAGATACTAACTCTATATTACCCAGAACTAAGAACCATAAATAATCCACAAAATAATCATAAATCAACTTATTTTTATGCAATTATAGTTAACATTTGGGTTTGCCTTTTCCTACAATATTTGCTTGTTAGTTTCTTTGCTTTTTCATGAAAAGGAAAGTAAAATTCTGGCAGCTTATTTTGCTTTTTCGAAGGCTTTTGTTCTATGAAATAACTTTTTAAAGAAGAGGTTAATTTCATAACTGTTGTGACAGTTATTTATAATTGTTAAGTTTAATTCTTTTTCAGCCAGCACCCTTTCTGCTAATCATAAAAACAACACGAAATTTTACAATTTTTTGATAATGAAAAGCTTTAATATTTTATCTAAAATTTCTCAAAAGAAAAAATTTAGAATTGCTCATTAATTTTAACCTAAAGTAAACAAATAGAGGATTTCACCGGCAGTTTTGGACTGAACAACCTGATTATGTAACTTATTACCAATATTTAAATTATTCAAAAGTAATGACGTTTTAAATTCCTTAAAATCAAACTTATTCAACCAAGAAAAGAAAAAATTTTGAAAGGGAGGGCATTATTAGTGGAAAATCTCGATAATTTTTGCGATTTTTCGAAACAATTTAATAATTTTTTAAATATGAATCTGTTTAAAAGCCAGCTCTTCTTCGGCGTTCGAAAATTTCGGCTCCTTAATATTAATTTAATTTTTTGTGTATTTCGCCATATCTCTATAAATGATTAACCGAATCGGAGAAATTTTTGCTCACAGTTATAAAATTCATTAATCCAAAGAAAATTTTTTATAAAATATATGTTTTTAAAGGATGGTAAGTGGCAAATTTGAAGCTAAATCGTTCGTCTGAGGTACAAAATTTCATAAACTATTCACTCTATTTCGTTTAAATTTTATACTTCGCTATTTACAATTACATTCTTTTCAAAGGATATAAAAGCTTCTTACAATTCAAAATTTTCTCGATTATTTTTAAATAAAATGGATTATTCTAAAGAATAATCTTCAAATAAAAGAATTTTATAATCATGCAAAAAATTTTGGGTTTTTTTTAGAAAGTTCTCGAGAAATTTTGAAATACACACAAAAAGTAATATTAACATTTATAGGTTCTAACTTTCAATCACTCTCCTGATTGAGCTATTATAAACTTTTTTTTCTTCTTAAGATTACGAATACTTCACGTATTTTAAGAATCAAGAATGCAAATCTGTGGGGAAAAAGTTACGTTTATTTTGAGAATGTACGTTTTCTTCAAATTCTTATGTCATTCATTTGAGTTGATTACGATTTTCTTTTATTTATATTAAATTCCATGTTTCTTTTATTTATTATTTTTTTATATATATAAAACTCTTCCTAAGTTTATATAGTTCTTATACTGCAAGTCCTAAGAAATATTTTTTGGTGGAAACAAAGTGGACGGCTTATAGCGAAGGCGAACAATTTCGATACTTATGTAAAATCTTTAAAAAGCCTGATTTTGTGAAATGTTTGAAAATCCAATGGATGAAACGGGTTGGACATTTGGTTAGAATGCAGGCAGATCGAAACTGCCGAAAACTATTTCTAGCCAAGCTTATACGAACTAGAGAAAGAGGCAAACTTCGCCTTAGATCAATGTTTCTTAACCTTTTTGGTAAAATAGACCCCTTTTAAAAATTTTTAAGAAGTCACAGACCACCTCCCTGTGAAAAAAATAATTGCAAAAACCATCCAAGAAAACAATTTTATTATTTTAATAGTATTAAAATTTTTAATGTGAAGGTTGCTGCTGCTTTTCCTTAATTAATAAATTGAATTGGGGGATAGTTTTCGACAAAGCAACGCGCATATCATGTTCAACATTCAATCGATTTCGATGTTTTGTAATTATTGTCACGAGTGTGGAAAATCCCGCTTCGCAAAGATACACCGTGGCAAACGGAATTATAGCTGCCATAGATCGCTTTACATGCAATGGGTAGGCTTACAGAAGTTTTTAAAATTATGAGTAGTTAGTGGACCCCCAAAATATGACTCATGGACCCCTTAGGGGTTCATGAACCACAGGTTAAGAAACCCTGACTTAGATGGATATTCTGAAAACCGAAAAATAGAGGAGAATGCCAGATCCCATCCAAAGCTGTCTTGACGCTGAAGAACATTAAATTCCGCGAAAATTCGATCATTAGATCAAAAGTTATCTGTGCACTCTTTTTTTATTTCCCGCGCTGTACATTATTTGCTTTTAGTGCAGTGGTCCTCTCCGATAGTTTACAACCTCTGGATTTCTAAACGACTAACTTCTTTTGTATTTATTAACTGAAGTTTAGGCTCGAATCGTCATTATAAATTCATTATGCCAGAGCTTCCTGACATTGGGGATTCGAAACAAACTTTAAGAAGAATTAGTTGAAATTGATAAACGAAATTTTAAAAAAATAATAATAATGAGGACTGAAAGTATAGCGAATGGAACAAAATATTTAAGGTAAGTTGGCAAGTGGACGGACCATAATTCGCCCATTTCAAGTGATGACTTATACAACTTTTTATTTCAGTTTATGCTGCTATCAAAACTAAATACGAAAGCTGTTTAAATGTGGAACTTTTTTCACTTATCACAAAGTAAACCTAACATCTGAAAATTATGCCAGTTAAAACAGAATTTTTCTACTTATTCGTTTTAGTCTGTTCAATTTCATTTTTTTTTATCCCGATTTTGAAAATAAAATTAAGTGCATCAAATGTTATAGTTTATTTTAATAGAGATATACCCTTTCATCACTTTATAATGAATAATATGTCTAATTTATTAAACTTGAAATAATTACTTACTACTAGTATCTCAACATTTGAGTGACAGTGGTCCGTACTTGATAGTGTCCTGAGAAGTTAACCGTTGTCTTAAAAATTTACGGAAGCTCTATCTAATACTAACAGTTAATCTTTCATTTATAATCTTATTTCACAAATTTAATGTCACATTTATGATCCAGCCCAATTCATCTTTAAATTATATCTTATAAATTAAATTACCTAGAGATATCATATAATAAACTACTTGTATTTTCAGCTTAACAATTATATTTATGATACTTGTCTTATTAATTACTTGTTTTATTAACAGATCTCTTTAGTTTCAAATTAAAAATCATAAACATAAATGCAATTGAACAAACTGATTAGAAGAACTCGGGCTGGAATATGTAGATTAATTTATGATTCTAATTGGAACATACCTTTTTACCTTCAATATTAAGTAGAATCATAAATAATTATCTCATTGAAAGAATATCAAATAAAATGTATAAGAGTGTTAATAATATTTAAGTTTTAAAATATGAGAAGGTTGCGTCCTTCCATAGAGAACCACATGTTTTGCATGGTCATTTGCAGTTTTTATGAACAAAAATTTGCGTAATTGCATCTCCTTCAAAATTTAAAAAATTAATAAAACTATCATTTATTGATTGATCTATTCAGGACAGGCAGATGGAAAAAGAAGCGCTATCCCAAGTCTGCAAAATCCTAGTTTATACTCTCTAAAAAGTACCTATGCGTACTAATACGAGAGTACTGTTGAGATTACGTCCGTGTGTGGTCCGCTAGAATCAGAAAGGCTCACTCATACATGATATTGTGGGCCGTGAAGGGAGAATCGCGTGATCACATATAGGTGATCATGTTCCTGAAGGGGTTAAGGAACTTGATTTAGTTTGTATTTAAAGAAACTTTCAAAATAAATTTTTCAGGAATAAAATTTTTTTATCCGCTTTTATAATTTATTTTCGAGGAAAATGAAATATCTTTGAGCTTTTTCAGTCTGCATATTTAGATCAGTTAAAGTTTATAAGTTTTTTTAAAACCCGATGGTGTGTTACCCCAAAGTGCTCCAATCTAATACTGTTATTTTATTTTACAATATCAACTTTTAAATAAAATTTGAAGGCTAATTTTTCTAATTCGTGTAAAAAAAAATATTACAAAGTAGACGGAACGTGGTTTTTTTTTCTTTTCTTTTTTCTCTATACTAAGGGAACTACAGCCTTTAATAAGCAATCAATCGAATTTAAAAATTTATAAAAAAATATTCTCCACAATACTACAAAAGAAAAAAAAAAGGAAAGATCTGGTCTTTCTCCTTTTCGTTTCCGTAGTTTTGTTCTATCAATTAAAAAATAATATTCTTTATCTTGATTTCCAATGGAATCAATCGAATTTCCATTGAAAATTCTTAAGACAATGATTGAATAGAAAATCGTTTGCATATCCAACTTATAACTCGCATTGGCGCTTTTTGTTTTCTTCTTATTTCTAACTCAATGTGTAAAACAAATCAGGTTTTTCTCTTCTGTTCTAGCAACCCTTAAGTGATGCGGAGCAGTTCTCGAATTCTTGCTTCCCACGGATTAACTTACACTTGTTGATGGACGTTTCGAAGGAGCGCGGTGGACAATGTCTCTATGGAGATATCTTTCCAGCGACTCGAATCGTTACTGTGAACATACTTCGCTAAATAATGAATTTAATTTGAAGATTCATTGATTTTTATGAATGTACGGAATATATTTTTCGACTATGATTTTCGGAATGCGTTGAATTATATGATATTGGGTGTCTGCATCTGAATATAGAAATAAGAGAAAAAATGTATTTTTGATTAATTTTCTTCTGATTTTCTATTCATCGACAACTGAATAACTTTTGCAAAACACCGGGAGCTTTGATAAAGTAAGTGTAATTTAGTTTAAACAATTTTTGATTTCATGAATTTAAGCAGAATGTATAAGTTTTTGATTATTTTATGTTTTATATACTTTTATTCAAAAGCGGAAAAACGATATGCTATACATAATTTAAGTATTTTGTATGAAAGAAGGATTGAATATTTGTTTCATTAGTTGAATAATGAACAAATATTTTTATCTGTATATGAGTATTTATCATTAGTTATGAGTTTCAATATTAATTGTCAACCTATTTCAACCCTTTATTTCTTCGGTAAAATTTTTCAATCTGTATGGCTTAAGTGAATCAGTTGCCCTGCAGCAGTCCATTAATTATTATTATCATAGCTGATTATTGTCGATTTTTTGCTTGCTATTGGCAACCAATTGATACATAATTGAAGACAAGCCTTCAAATAACGTCAATTTGAACATCGTTTATATAATGCAATGAAACATCTTAATAATTTAAATAAATTTAAAAATATAATAATAAAATATTCATTTCGTGTAAACTATTAAATTGCTGTAGATTTTCGGTAAAACTTTTCAAAATCCTATCGTTTTTATTATTATTATTATTTATTATCGTTATTAATTATTATTATTATTTATTATAATTATTTATTATGATTATTATTAAAGATACTTGATGACAATGTAAATATTACTAGGGAAACAATTGTATGTTACCCACTCTACTATATGTCTACCTTTTCAATTTTATCTATAGATACATACAAGCAGTATTTTATTTTATTAACAGTGTTAAACAGTCGATTTATGATGAATGCGCTACTTTAAATGTTAACATCATAATCTTGTAATTTTTGAGCTTAACTGAAAAATTCAGCGAATTTTTTTAGTCATGTATTGGGACAAACTTGCCTTAGTTGTCGGTACCTAAGACGAAAAATCAGAACCCCCCCCACACGGTTGGGCCGATGATAATTATGATTCTATCATGTGCCCCATCTTACCCAGTGTGAATATTTTGCTTTATCGTTGTGTTTGATTTAGCTAGTCATCGTTGAGATGCGAACCCGAATCACTTGTGTTCAAAGCGAGCGCTCTATCCATTTGGTTTGTGACTTAATAGTTACAAATTTAGCTTGTTTTTTCATAAAATGTGCCGTCGTAAATTAACTTCATGTAAGACTGAGGACTTCTCAAACTATAACAACATCGATACGGCTAAAAAAAAAATTTTAACTTTAAAAACTCCCTTCTTTCAAAAACTGCTAGCCATGTCAAGAACTTAATGCATTCGTAGTTACTGAAAACATTTTGACTATTTTTGGAGGCATATTCAACAAAATTAAACGTAATCATTTTTAGCTACTGTAAGAAAAATTGCAATTAGCTTTTAAAAGTATTTTATGATGTATTTTCGCAAATATACATGCGATTATAATTATTAATACTCATGGTAGTAACTAATTTATATTCCCCTGCAGTTGCCTATGTTAAAAAAATCCTATTAGAATAAAGGCCAACATCTTTAACAAAATTCTTAAGATAACCTTTTTTTTTTTTACAGTTAACTTCTTTTTTTTTTTTTGCATGTAGGTACATTTTAACTAGACGTGGTATTCTACTAAGAAATTAAATGACGATTCTCCTGAAAAATGCTAAAAAAATTTTTTCTCGTACTTAGCTGGAGAGCATCCACGAATAACCTAAATTATAACCACGATTAACAACCTAGTTTTTATCAAAACTCATTTACTAGAAAAATGTAAATATTTTGCTCCTCTATAGGGAGTCCTTTAAACTCCACCTAGCTGACCAGTCATGGCTAATACATTGGTCCCTCAAATTGAAAACAAACTCACTCCCTTGAGGCTTTTCTGCTCAGCGGGCCAGTTTCTCTGACATTATTATAGGATAGCAATAAATTAGGGAAAGAACAAATTGGATATTTGTTTTTTAAATTTTGAAAATAACCATATAATAAATTACTCCGCTATTATATTTATGGAGTACCTACTATTTTTTTTTAAATTAATTTTTTAAAAAAACTGAATTATTTTTCATTTTTTATACATGATTTAACTCAACTCACTTCAACTCAGAACAATAAAATAACTACTCGCAATTCCTTAAAAATTTTATTTAACGCGGGGAAATTTTAAAAAAAAAAAAACATGCATGCACGGTATTTATTTTTCAAGATAGTTAAATAGCTTTGGTAAAACAAAATTTGTTAGATGAATGACAATAGTTTGTAAATGAAATTAGTAGATAAATGAGACATTTTGATCAATAACAGCTTTAAGTATTGTAAAAATAAATTAAATGTTGCAACACATTTTTATTTACTCATAACCAGGTTACAAGTTTCCAAGTTACTTAATCTTCGGATTTTATAGCTTTAAAAGATAATAATAATAATAGTTGCCAAACATCCTATTCAACCTCTGTGTTGTAGTCAGTGCAACACGACATAAGGATGAGTGGGACTTAATTGGTTTCCTTGTTTCTATTCACTGTAAATATTAACGAATTCATAGAGATAACCATAAAGATTGTTTTTACTCTTTTAGATCTTGTTAAGATTTGGCAATTTTATTATGATCCCGCATTTCTGGTGGTCCCACGCCGATGTTGTTAATTTTTATTTTTTGTTTATTATTAATTATTATTTTGCTAATTTTTTTTTTGTAATTTTTTTTTGTTAATTTTTATTTTGTTTATTATTAATTTATAATATTGAAAATTCGAGAATCAACTTTTGTTTCAATCATACTTGATGATAATTTAGCCAGGACAACTGAAGGCAGGGATGTCCATTTTTTTAGAGTCTCCTCTCAAGAAAATTATTCAAATAACTAATTTATTTTATAACCTGGCGTTAAAATGCCGACCCAATTTTGAGTTTGCGACTATCAATCTTCAACTCCGTAGCATTGTAATTTAAATCCAACCCAGAAGACAAAAGGATTCCTGGATCAAACATTTGGACAAACTTGCCTTCGTGGATGCTTTGTCTCTTTGTTGGAACTAACCCGCATTTACGTTACATGGGTAGGAAAACTACGAAAACCTCATACAGTTAACCTGGCAGAAAGGGGACTCTAATCCATGATCCGTCTACCACTGACGATATTTTATGTCAGCACTGTGATCAGTGCGAGCCGAGTGCGGATTTGTATCGACCAGCCATCGCTGGAATTCGAACCTGGGTCACCTCATTTTATTTAGAGAATTTTATTTTATAACCGTCGTTGAACAACCGCCCCAATTTCGAGTTTACAACTACCAATCTTCAACTTCGTAGCTTCGTAATTTTGAAACCAACCTAGAAGACAACAGAGCTCCTGGATCAAATATGGGGAGAAATCTGCCTTCTTGGAGGACTTTTTGATCGAAATAACCTCGCATTTGCGTTACATAGAGAGAAAAAACCACCTAAACCTCCCACTGTTAGCCCGACGGCAAGAGGACTTTAACCCCTGACCTGTCTACCACTGAGGATATTTTACGTTAGCACTTTGGTCAGTGTGAGCCGGTAGCGGAATTCGTATCGACCAGCCATCTCTGGGATTCGAACCCCGTTCACCGAGTTGGGAAACGAGTGCTCTATCCTACATAAAGTATTTTTTATTTATTTTAATCTTCTAACCGTCGTTGAATAAACGACCCAATTCTGGGTTTACGACTAACAATGTTCAACTTCGTATCCTTGTAATTTTGATACCAATACAGAAGATAAGGGAGCTCCTGAACCAGTAGCCCAGAGATATCGATTTCGTATGGGAACATGGAGGACTTTATGACCCGACAGATTTAACGTGCACTAGTCACCATTTACTACACATCTTTCATTGTCTTCTTATATAAAGTATTAGAAAATGGGATATATTTCAATGTTTTTAGATTGTGTGTTAATGTTGGCCATGAACACAAAATTTCTGCCTTCTAAGAACCCACGCCTATCTATATAATAAGCGATTATTTATAAAAATTAAACGATGCGTATAATATTTGAAAAACATGAGAACTAGAAAAGAAGGAAAAAAATGTTAAGGTGGTTCTTTTAGGGATGAAGTTCGAAAAAGAAAATTATCGTACATACTTATTTTCCTAATTTTAGAGCAAATTTAATAGGGCCCTAAGAGATCCATTTTTTGAGAGAATATTTAAAGAACCCCACAAAATGTTTTGCCCACGACCCTGTTAAGACTAACCGAGGTGATTCATCGCCCATTTTAAGAAAAATTAACAATCCTAAATCAAAGGTAAAATTTTTTGATTTTATGAGAGAAGTTGTGCGATACTAAAGTTTTTTATTTTATATAAATTATTCTAGTAATAAAATCGAAAAATCGTATTTTTACTGATGTATAATGGAAACAAATCTATTACAATAACAATTCACTTAACTTTTTGTTGTTTCTCATTGCTAGGAGTAAAAAAGGACAAAAAAAATTCTCGCAAAAACTCACTTTATGAAAATTGAAAAAGAAAAAAAAAAGATTTTGAGTCTCAATTTCATTTTAATCGTACGCGTTTACATTCAATAGAAAGATATCATTTTTTCATTGAATGATTTAGGAAATTTTTTTTAACTCAGAAGTTCAAAATATTGCATTGTATTAATTCCCCTTTATATATTTCCCCTTTTAATTCCAGAATCTTTTATACAAATTGTTCATTTACTATATGTAATTTGAACTTTACTGAATTGTGGTGAAATGATGCTACATCAGCAATCTTTTTGTTTGATAAGATTTTCAGATTCAATTTAAAAAACTGATTTCATCATTCCAAAAATAAAAGCATTGCTCTCGTGGGTGTTGGAAACCGGCTTATCCGGAAAGCAAAGACAATTGAATTGAAAGATAAAATAAGGACAATGAAAAAAATGACACTAGGAAATATATCTTTTTTAAATTTCTGATGAACTATTTCTAATGCATGGAAATTTCGTAAGTAGTCAACGGCAGATATGTGATGTGCTTTGTTTTGCTCTTAAATTCATTGTTCTCATCTTCGTCTAAA